TTTTTTTACTTTAAACCGCATAAACACATTTCATTACACCAAATACACAAAATAATGTTCTTTTTAGCAGCATCATATGACCCCTTTAAGTTTGCAAGGTGTGTTACATGAATTCTACTTCCGTAACACAAATCGACACTCACATACAAACCAAAAGACACACAAGCACAATCAACAATGACAGAATCCTGTTTTCCTTGCACCAGGAGTCAGTCCACAATACAGTGTTTAAAGACAAAAACACACACTCAAAGGAAGCTGGAGCCCGCTATCTCTCTCCTAAATTGAAGGATGTGACCTCAGCTTCCTGTATGACATTTCCCCTGGTAGCAACACAGCAGGACACAATGAGTCTGCATCCAATATAAATGAAAGATCATTAGTCATGAGACACATCATAAAGTGTCCAAAGTTCAGTTGCATCATAAATATCTAGATGCACTAGATGATACAGCAGTTGTCTTGGACTTATACTGTGGATGCAGCATTAGCCAAAAAAGTATTCAGGTACTAATGACATTGTAGAAATGCAGTAGTGGCAGTCAGTATTCATGATTAATTTATTTGGTGAGATTAAGTGTACAATAATAGTGGGCTTATTAAGACAAAATGAGAAGTATTCAGCTGGTCATGTGATCTCAAAATGGCCACTCCCCAAGGCAACTCACTCCATGTAAAATAAAACGGCTTTAATTATGATACTGATAGGAATTTTCAAAAAAATACTACTCACTGCTTTAGGTGTAATGAATGAGATAGAATTCCTGTGCGCAAGGAACAGCTACTATAAAGGACAGTATGAACGGTCACCATTGTGCCCTTGAGCAAGCCACTTAAGTCCAAACTACTTCCTTGTAATAAGTCTACAGTAAGATGCTTCGGATAAAAGCGTATGCGAAATGAAATTAATACCATAGGCAGACAGTTGAGGCCTATTTTGATAGTGCTGAACAGTAAAGAAGCATCCAGAGAAAGCAGGGTGTGCCAACTCTCAGTCTTGCTCAAAAATGCAGTACTTGTCTGGAATGAGGGTTTTCTTCTGCTGAGGAGAATGCTGGCCGGGTAATAAGAGATTTCACTCTTTGATTGGAAGTGACAATAGGAGCATACATTCTAGTCATTTTCACCCTGTAAAGCTTGCTTGACAAGTCCTCGCATTTCACTCTAACCCAGTCATTGAATAAACGTATAGTATCTTCACACTTTGTAAAGCTATTTCCTGCCTTCTCATATCATGTAAAATAAGTGAAGTCTGGTGCTTTAGGCCTGGACAACATAGCTCTGTATTTGGGAAAAATACTACCATCAAAAGACAGCAACATTACTGTGGAGGAGGGTGTGTTGATAACACACTGATCAGAGAGAAGACAGAAGAAAATTATCACAATCCGCTGGGACAAACGTCCACTCATTTGTTTACACCCTCAACATATAATGCAGTTTTGTTTTGTGTTGTATAACCTATATGTGTAGGAAGAACTTTCTGTTATCTTCATTATCTTATTGGGTGGTCATTACATCAACATTAACATTACAACATAAACACAAAATATAACCAACCTTTCATAAATATTATTCGCAACAGCCAATGTGGCCTATGTAATTTTGATAATTAAAAAATAAACAAATTACATGCTCCACATCTTTTGAAAAACTTCCTGTGCATGAAATCATCATATTTTGAATAAACATGCTTTCCCCTGCGATTGCTACTGGAGATGCAAGCTCTTGCTATTACTGTGCATTTTAGTCATTTCTAAAAAGCAATTTAATCAACTCATTAATGTTTACAAAATAAATGTCAGGAGGCAAATTTCGGCCATGATGTGTCTTATATTGTTTGTAAAATTTTAGAAAAAGCTAAGTTTCCTTCTTGCTGCAATTTTTGTATCTACTTTCTTATCCATAATTAATAAATGGGCAGATATGAATGAATTCTGAGTTCATGATCCAAACTTTTGTATAGCATCCCATTATCCCATAACCTTACCAGCAAACTCCCCAAATTCAGCGATGATCGTTGGTCCTTGATGATTGACTCCAGTGTTCTCACCCGGTTTTCTAGTCTCTTTCCTGCACCGGTCGACATTGCGGCAGCTCGGTGTTGTGAAGTTCCCAGTAAGCATCAGATTGTGAGACTTCAAATGTCCGAAACAAACTTGTCTCTACCTGTCGTAAGTCAACGCGACGCCTCTCAAAGCTCACCGGTTCTGGATGAATTAATTATTTAGCCGATTTTGCACAATGCATAAATGTACGGAACTCTGTGGTTTTGTGTCTTGACCTGTGTAAATAACAGCGGCTTTCCGCGTGCTAATCAGCAGTGTAAAATCAGACTGACTCGCGCTCGTCCAGGAAGCCGAGTGTCTCTCCCGCTCCGGTTCAAACATTACAGGGGGGGACCTTCCGTGTTCGGTCTGTGGTGAAAATCACACTCTTGATCTTCCTGACTGTTATTTTGGAGTAAATGAAGCAGAGGGGACTATGAGTACATGTATGTGAAGGTGAATGGAGTGTTTCTTTGTCCCTCCCCCGCGGCCGCTGGAATTCTTCGGATCTTATCTCAGCCATCGCTTTTACCAGACAAACGTTACTCTCTAAATTCGACCCCATATACTACACTAGCTATATTTAGACGATTACATACATGTATTTATGATGGAACGAATAAGCTTATTATTGACGACTTCTTTCGTGTGCGTTTCGTAAATGTACTGTGGTGTAATTCAGCACTGAAATGCAGTGTACTGACGATAAAAATGATGGCATATAAACGTCTCTGCTGTGAACACGGTGACCATTCATAGTAGGCAATCTGAATATTTTAATGTAAATATTTTAAAGCCATTCTCTGTGTTAACTATTATATTAAGGTCAGTAATATTTGCCCTATTTCGTTTTTAGAGGGATTTTCAATATAAAAATAGCGTGTCTAATAGTCAATTATTTCTCAATCTGAACAATCATGGCTGTTGAAATCAAATCAACATAAAAGTTACTAATATGTTCCATTTAGGGGAAATAAGATAAGATGTAGGCTACCTTTTATATAGCTTTTGTATTGTACC